CACGGTTGTTAATTTCCTAAGGGTCTCCATAATTGTTCCTACGATTTGTCGATGTTTTTTTTTAAAATCACGATCTCACTTTTATCGTTTTTTCTTAATTGTTGTTCCTCCTTGATATTGCGTTTTACAAAAAAATGCTGCATCATTTTTATCACTATTATCTTGATTTACTCAAATGTGGTAGTAGTGCGTTACCATCGTCATCATCTGAACAGTATTCAAAGTAATTCCGTGAATTTGTCCGGTAATTTGTGGTTTTTTTCCATAATTTCGCTGATTTGTTTCGTAAAAATCCCTCTTTATAATTTACGTTTGCCTTTTGTGCGCTAACATTTAAAACAACTGTGTATATTTGTTTGAAAAGCTCCATAAAAAGAACTTTTCATTGTTAATGAAATCTTGTGTGGTAGTTCTTTTCCTGTTTCTTTTTAAAATATTTTGGCATTGCTTTTTTACTTACAAAAATTTGATAAATTTGCACATCATTAATAAAATATTATCATTTCAAATAAAATTCCTCTTTTTTTAAGTTGCGCCTTTTTTTGGTTTTTATTCTGCAACATCAAGATCGCCAATAGACTGACCACCAGGCAGTGCACCACTGGTCAAAGCAACTGGAATAAAAACTGTCAGATGCACATTTGGGGAAATAGGCTATGAATTAACAATTAGTGAAAGTCTTGTAACAGTGAATTAATGAGAGAAACTACATGAATCAGTATTCTATGGAGAATTATTGTGAGAAATAACGAATGTGTGAAATTTCCAGAACGTCTAAGTGCAGCGGAATCTGTTCGAGATGAACTTGGCATAGCTGTGGAACGACAACGTGCACTGATCACTCGTCTGGAAAACGATTTATTGAGCCTGCATGCAGTACTGCCAAGATCTCGTGCCGATGTAATTTTTTTGCCATTTTTTTGAGGGGTTGAGTTGATTTTTTGAGGGATTTGAGGGATTTTACAGAAACAGTTAAGTTTAATTTGTTGTTGTTCTGAGCTAATTTCCCCATTTACTGTCGTTCTGAACTAATTTCCTCATTGTCTAAGGGAGCTGATGCTGATGAAACGGACACCGGTGACTATTCGACGATCAAAATGCTGGCCCAGGAACTAGCTGCTCCGGTGGCAGGAGAACAATTACTGCTTAGTGATGGAAAAACCAGTAAAGATGTTCTGTCAATAGTTTCGGCGCAGCGTGATCGACTTCATCATCGCGTAGATGAACTGGAACAAGAACTAAGCATCCAGAAACAAAATAACGCCTATCTGCGGAGTGAACGTGATAAGATACGTGAAGATAACGTGCAACTGTACGGAAAAATCAAATTCTTACAAAGTTATCAAAATAAAAATCGCGAGGTGAGTGGTTTTCCGTGTACGTGTTCGGTTCAAGTAGTTTTAGTTCGGCTAATAGCCAGTGATTTTGAGGTTACTTCGAACAAGATTCGTTGCGTATTCAAAGTTTTGCCAGCTGTAGAAAAATCTGACCGATACCAAGTAATAGAGAGTATCGCGAATACGAAGTATTTTTTTTTAAACATTGAACAAAGCAGGAAAAGGTTATGCGGATGTCTTCGGGTATATGGCATATGCAGTTTCATAAATCTGCACAACTGAATGTGGAACACAAGAGTGGGTAGTGTAATGGATAACATGGCACAATTCGGAATGTCTGAAAACAGTGCTAAGACGAGAGTTCAATTCCTTCCCAGTCTTATATTGTTGTAAAAAGGCTTTGTTCGTCACAACGGTATCAGTGGTACATCCAACCTCAGAAAAGTCGTAATCACTGCTGTGAACGGAACTCTTTTTCCGAGGGATCGAGAGGGAATCAAACCACTCCTTTTTCACGTCCTGATGGTGGTGGAGTTTTATTCTTCTGAGCTGATTTTGTAGATTTCGAGTGAAATTTTGTGCCTCGTTAACTTATTCTCTTAAGTGCTTAATAAA